TTACCACGGGATGTCAATCCCGTGGCAAAAACAGAGAAACAAATAGGGACATAATTAGCGTAGCTGCTGTTCCAACCAAGCAAAATTGATTTGTTTAACCCAAACTAAAGAATAATAATTGTAACAATAAACATTGTTACCTTGTGGCCCAAGATGCTGGGATAGGCTTCAGCCCCCATGACCCTAAAGAGGATAAGTGGTTTGGAGAGTGAATTGATGGATGAACTTGCAAGATAGCACTTTGACTTTGACTCAGCTTAGAAAATACCTTTCCATTATATTTGTTTGTCATCTTGCATTATTATACCTGTGCTAAAACTATGAAAATTGAGAAAGAATGAAATAATGAAAAGTGTCTTTTTTTTTTTTTTACAGGATCCCCTGTACCCAACCTCAACCATTCATCAGAAGGACTGTGAAAGCGGGAACTCTTTGAACCAGGTTCCACTGGATGAAAAAAGGCATAGTAGTGGATGATGGGGGTACTGACATTAACCTGCTGTATTCACTAGGGATTTTTGTCAATTTTTCATTTCCAGTACTGATAGGTCTTTATTTTGACCATCTGGATGGCATGCTGTCCTAACACTAACCAGTCAGAGCTCAGGTACCTCAGGTACTCAAAATGAGAAAATAACCAAAAAGAGAAAAAATATAATCAAATACTCAAACTTGACAGCGATGATCGATCATGAAAATGATGATTGCAGTGAATTTAAAAAATATGATTGGTCGTTGCTGTCAAGTCTGAGTGCTCTAGTACTCGTGGACATCGTTATTAAACACGCATACACACAGTATCGAGGTATGATGTATACTGCCTTGATGCATACTGTAAATGCAATAAACATTTTAATCATATCTAGTCAAGTCTTGTTACTTCTGGATTTTCTATTTATTTTCTAAATTATTTTATGAACAAACCTATTAAAGAAAAGTAGATAAATGTGAGGATATTGATCTGGAAGAAATGGAGCCATGAAGAACCTTTTCATCAGTGGTTCTTTGTAGAACCTTTAAAACCAGAGTAGTACCAGAAGTAGTACCAGAAAAGGTTCTTTATGGCACCAACAAAAAAAAGTTCTTTAAAGGTGACATATCATGAAAATCTGATTTTTCCAGGTTTTAAGTGCTATAATCAGGTCCCCGGTGCATCTACCAACCAAGGAAACGTGAAAAATATTAACCCAGTAACTTTGTTTTGGTAAGCCTTTTTCTGCAAGCGTCTGAAAAAACAAGCGTGTCTGATTTCGCTCCCCTTTATTTAATGTATATTGCTGCTGCCACACAGATCTAAAATAAACATGCGATTTATTTCCCAGCTGTTTAAGTTACCTTCACAGACTTAACCGACTGTTTTTGTAACTCCTGTGTGTTTTTAACGTAAACTTGTGTGTGAATGAGAACTTAGTTTAGTACTCACATGCTGTGACAGCTGCTTTCTGTACGTGTGCACTCAGAAAACCGAAGTTTAAATTAATATGGTTTAAAACGCATGATTTCAGCGCAATAAACATGATAATCAGAATCAAAACAGATGTTTTTTAGCAGGTCTAAGCTTTAATGGCGCATGTTTCTGCTTCCACTCAAAATAAGCATTTTCAAAATTATATAATAAATGACCTGTGGAGTATTTTGAGCTGAAACTTCACAGACACATTCTGGGGACACCAGAGACTTAGATTACATATTGTAAAAAGGGGCATAATATGTCTCCTTTAAGAACTGGTTCTTCAAAAAAACGCTCTTCTTTGGCATCGCGGTGAAACCCATTTTTTGTTCTTCCTGGCACTTTTTTATTATTATTATTATTTTTTAAGAGTATAGGTTTTGTTAATGATATTAAGCCTGGTTTGAACATCAAACTGGTCAACATTTTGATTATAATAATGACACTATGGGAGTGATAGAAGCTTCAATACATTGCAGTGTATCCTTACGACTGCTTGACCTCAACAGGATCAATAGTGTTAGCTCCAACCTGCTATTACAAACAAAAGATTGTCCTTCATCTCATTTAATTAGGGCCTTGGCATTGTGAGACTCCAGCTACCTACGCACTCTCTAGTGAAGATGAATATGTTTGAGTGTGCAGGGCGGGGGTGAGGGTCACATTGAAATGCACCTGATGACTCCTTCCTGTTTTGTCCCGATCATGCACCAAAAATGGACAGAAGGAATACAATACAAGTAGAGACAAAGCCTCATTTCATCTTGCAACAAAGGCAATTTTTTATTGCACAAAAGATTCTTTATAGTGGAAAAAAGTTTCTTAGATTATTCAAATGTTCTTTACACTAAGAAAATAATGGTTCTTTTAAGAACTGTTGACTTAAAGGCTCTTTGGGGAATCAAAATGGTTTGTCACCTTTTCCAGTAAGCCAAAATTTTGAACATTTAACAACTTCTGGAGGTAACTTGCAGCTTCTTTGGCCCACAGTTTTCAAATTGAATCTCTGGAGTTATGGACACAGCAGGAACAGCCAGTTTCCTAGAGCCAAATTTCAGGGTGAAATTCAACTCTGGGTCAATGAACAATATGATCACTCATAATCTCTGGCTTCCAAATCTGTTATATCAACTGGATAAAATTAGTTATCTTTCATGAAATTTAAATTTTCTTCACAAAATACGAACCATTCAAAACTGAGCTACTCTCACCAACAGTTTCAACCACAGTTTTACTGTTTTCTAGATGTCTTCATTTCGTGTCCATTCAAGGAGCATAATACATTCTTTATTGCATTGATGGTTCCATGAAGAACTTTTAACATCCATAGAATCTTTCCATTCCACAAAAGGTTCTTTAGATTACGAAAATGTTCTTCACACTAAGAAATAAATGGTTCTTCTAAGAAGGTTCTTTCAGGAACCAAAGTTCTTCTATGGCATCACTGTGAACACCCCCACGCCCCGCCTTTGGAACTTTTATTTTTAAGAGTGTATCTGGAGCCACACTCTTAAAATAAAGGTTCTTGGCATCTATGGTTGCATGAAGAACCTTTAACATCCATGGAACTTTTTCATTGCACAAAAGGTTCTTTACAATGGACCAAAGTTCTTCAGATTATTAAAATGTTCTTCATAATTAGAATGAAAGGTTCTTTGGAGAACCCAAAATGGTTTTTCTATATGGCGTTACTAGAAAAGCACCTTTTGGAACCTTTATTTTTAAGATTGTATCTGTAACCATAGTTTAGGATTTAAAGTTTTTCTGCAGAGTTCATAAAGCACTTCCTTATTAAACCAAAAAACAAAACCCTGCTTAATTTATGAATGACCTTAAGACCTCAAAGAGATGCGTTTGCTCGTTTGATCATCACATGCATACACAAGAACAAGGCTCGAACTAATCAGAATGCCATTTGCTAATTACTTTGTTTAATTCCTCCCAACTCCTAAATCAGTAATTAGCACAAATAATTATATGTTAGAAGTGTTTCACAATGTCATGGTAAAGTTTGTTCTGTTTACTTTTCAGTTCCAGTAATTAAAGTAATATTTGAGTGCCGTTAGATGTACGCCAGTCGAAAGCCTTTCTTGTCAACACCTACAGAGTCTGTAAATAACAACAGCAGTCGAGTATACTACAACAGACACTGTTTGACATATAAAATGTCTTTATAATTCTGGTAAAGTGTTTTCTAAGAGACATGCTGCCTATGTTAAATACTGTATATAAAAAAATGCCTTTATATTTTTAGAAAGGGAATCACATTAGTATAAGTTCATGATAAGTGTTCTGTAATGAAGCTGTACTATTCTCTCTACAACTTTTGAGACACTCCAATACCACATCTTTTCCTGCCCTTTTAGACTTGATTTTCTAGAGACAAAAAACGAATTACACGCATCAGTAAAGCAAGAAAACAAACAGCAGTTACTGTGCTTTATCTGAAATGTCAAACAAAAATAAATCAGTACATTTCATTATGGAATTATTAATTACTTCATAATAAACAAAAAATGGGGAAACATGCATTGACAAACAATCTGGTTTCTCTGTTACGTGTGGCTTCTATCAGAGTGCTCATTAAAGACTTTGTTAATTAGCAGCTGGAGACAGTGGCTGAGGTGTGCACTGTGTGATTTTTCTTTTTTCTTTTTCTGCCCTCAGTAGACAGTGACACCCAGGATATTTTATATAATTCCCAGCACAATTAACAAACATCCACCAACTTTTCTCGCAACCCTTGTCACAATCACACATATACTACCGGATGGAAGTGTTTTGACTCATTTTGTCAATGTAAAATCTCACTATTTTGTGACATCCCTTTGTAATAGCCTATAATTGTTGCATTTTCTGTTTTAGCTCAGTTCTATATTTGAACAATAATTGTTTAAAAAAATGCTTTCTATCAGGATTAATTTTTAATTTTTTTCGCTGATAAATTGAAATAGGCTACCATTTGGATTTATTTTAAGTAATTGTAAAAATACACCAATTATTTGTTTTTCTGAATTTCAATCGTTATGCATGTCCTGTCATATGTTTCCACCGCTAACATATTTATACCAAAGACTAGAATACCCTTAAAGGGACATTGTTTATACCTATAATCCCAATAAAATGCGATTAAGAACCTTTTTTGTTTTTCAATACATTGTAAACAAAAAAATTAAACAAAAGCGAAAAAGTCTGCTTTAAATATTTGAAATTAACAAGCTGCAAACAAAACGCCTCTTTGCCTTGAGCATAGTTATGTATCTATGGCCTTGAGCACGTGACGTCTGTTTCCATAGATACAGCAGCGTGCCTGCGCTCCCTTCACGTGTTTTTCTCTAAAGCATCCGTGTAGAAACGTTTAAGTTGAGGAGTTCCGCCATCTCGAGATTTATACATACATATAAATACATTTAATTGTTGAAGTACAAACATAAGTACAAATAATTTGTTGCCCATTTTGTGTAGTTTAATTATACTTGTAATTACAAAATATGGCTTTTTGTTAAATCACACGTGTTTCTGTCAGGGCGTTAAAGAGCGAGGCAAACACTCACACGGGAAGCAGCATGGACTGGGAGGGACGACGTTCATGACAGCTGCCTAGAAGCTGAGAAAACCTCTTGATATTAGGTTAGTAAGCGAAGCGCGACAGTTTCCATATACGATACCATCCTGCAATATATATATATATATTACACTTTTTATCGCTTTGTATGCTGTTACGGTAGTTATATGTGACGTACAGTACATCTTGTCCACTGACTGCTAAAAACAGTTTAAAATATAAAGCTATTGACTGTTAACTAATCATTATTTAAAGGGTTAAATATGGGGGTGTGTATGTTGTGAATTAATAAGTACATTACCGTGATATATCACATTACCGAATACCGGCACAAGTCTAGTAGCGAATCGTCCTGTACTTGACTCTGGTTTTGAACACAATTCATGCTTTCCTGTGTATTTTTTTTTTTTTTGTATTTTGTATTTTTTCAGGATTATGGCAGATTCCAGTGGTCCACAGAAAAACTGGTACTCAATACTAGGTGCCTGTCCAACAGATGACATACAAGAACTGAAACAGAAGTATCAGAAGCTCATCCTCATGGTAGGTGTTCAGCAAACTCAACCCTCTACGGACACCTTGGCAATTGAAGCTAATATTAGACATCATTTAGTCGCCCAGAGTGAAGATTAGTCGCATATGCGAGTGATTTACTCGCAATGTAGAGGGTTGAAACTGTTTTAAACATTGATAATAAGAACCAGTGTTAATAATAGAGCAGCAAATCATCATATTAGAATGATTTCTGAAGGATCCTTTGACACTGAAGACTGGTGTAAAGATGCTGAAATTCAGCTTTTGCCATCACAGGAATAAATTACATTTTAATATATATATTAAAATATTAAAAAGTTATGTTAAATTGTAATAATATTTCACAATATTACTGTTTTACTCTATTTTTGGCCAAGTAGTCAAGCATTATATGATAATCAAGTATTATTTAATGGTAGAACTTTAGTAATTAGAATTAAAACCATGTATGAATTCATATTAGTCATTTTAACTGAACTTAGGACTGGTGCTGCTGATTTACTCTATTTTTGGCCAAGTAAAATGCAGCCTTGCTGAGCAGAAGAGACTTCTTTCAAAAACATAAAAAAAATGATGTATATAAATGTACATTTTTTTTTCCTCGTGGGATACTTTCAACCAACTTTTGACCATAATGTAGAGATTTGGTCCTATATATTACAGTCATGCAGACCAACAAACAATTTTCAAAACATCTGAAATCACAAAATTAATTGCAGTTGTTTTTGGTTTTAATGTATTGATGCTCATAGGTTTGAAAATCGTCTAGAAAAATGGTAGGCAGTTTGGAGTCAAAAAGACTGTGAACCACTGGCATAAATGCAATTTAATATGTTATTCAGTGCACGTCTACTGAGTTCATAGTGATAAAATTCATAACCGAGATAGATTTTGCAGATTATGCTTGATTCTCCCATCAAAGTTTCCTCCAAGGGCAAATTGTTCTTGCTAAATACGAGCTTTGAAAACATATGCACAATTAATCAATGGCATCAGTATTTCTCATTAATACACATTGCAGGTTGACTTATCCCAGTCAAGTTATACTAAAGCTGATTTGTTTAATCCCAAACCCATTTTAATTACAGCAATCGCATAACACCAGTCGATCAATCAGGATGTGTGCCGTGCAATTTGTAGAAGCAGTTTGAAGAGGCCGAACCAACACCTTATACAATATACAGCAGGAAATTCATTGGTAATGAAATTGATAATGGTTTGAATTTTTTTTGCCAATCACAGTGAAATGAATCAGTGTATCATGACAGAAATGATATCACATATCTGTTTCTTCATATTATAGCCAGACAGTTGAACAGGAGTCAGTTTACTGATTCAGAATCAACCTCACAATTTGCATTACAAGAGTAACCTCAGGCTTAAACCAATCCATACTGTTGTACTACTGTTTGCAGTAGGTCAATGTCCTGCGTTCATTCATTCTGAGATCAGCCTGACAGTAGGTGGCAGTAGTGTGATGGAAGTAGCCTTTGTGCCCCCTGTCTCCTCTCCTCCTTCTCCATTGAAGCTGAGAGCGGCTGCAGGCAGCATACCAGAGTCCAGCTGAGGATGTGGCAGTGCTCCCTTCGCAGCCACTGAGAGATGATGATGTATTGTTAGAGCTGGCGAGTGCTCCAAATTGCCCAGCCTTTTATATTGTGTTCCTGCTCTCCAAGCTCCATTAGCCCCAGTAAATGAATATTTTACAATGCGTGCAAAGAGACAGCAATTAAAGCGTGTAACTCCAGAGGGGCAGAAGGCCGGGTCGCTCTGACAGAGCACCAGCCTCTCGTTGTGTTATGTATTTATGACAAGTACCTGAACCACACAGCCTGGAAGTTGTAGAGTGACACATAGGAAATGTGTGATTACCAGCTTAGTGTTTGTAATGTCAGAATGAGTCCTAAGAAGACTTTGGATAACAGTATACTAAGCATTACCATTAAAATCTAGCTGTTTTAAGAAAGTTTCCCCTCATATGCACTGAAACAATTAGGTGTAGAAATAACAAATATGTAATCAAATTTATTAAATAATGTTATTATGAAAAGAAACATTAATAAACCATGCCTAATACAACCAGGGACATTAAAAAAAAAAAAAAAAAAAAGGTAATTTTGCTGTTTTTTTAATTTTATTTTGTCTTTGAGCAATTTAAAAAAATATATAAATTTTTCTTTACAAAACAATGTGGTATTTTTACATTCAGGCCAGCATTTCTTCATCTATCCATCAGACACTAAATCAAACGCTCAGTTACGACAGACCTGAAACCTAGTTCACAGGGATTGTCTATTTGACAAAAGACTACCCAGGGAGATGTTTGTGGAGCAGCGGTATGTGCTTGCCAGGGCTAAATTGCACTTCACACCTGTGGTCCTGACTCCTCAAACTTACCTACAAAGAATAGAGGGAAGCAAAACCCTATCTCCAATTCCGCCACTGGGGAGAGAGTCTAATTCTCTGGCAGAATCTGGCGTCCTGCTGGAGGTAACTGAGAAATTGTGCTGCCAAGCTTGCTCGACCATTCTCAGGGTTCAGGAACAGAGCTGTTTTTATGTTTCTGATCTGGCTGAGAATAGATGTGGACATATTACTTTAGCAAAGGTGGTGTTTCAGATTTACCACAGAATTAAGAACAGCATTTCCGATATTTAAACATAAGGGTTTGATTTCATTTGAAATTATTGTACATGCTGATTTAAAGTTTCACTTTCAGCTCAGGTTTTCACTTTAGCTATTTAGCTTTGGTCATTCTTTGATCCTCTGATCTGAAGCGTCCTAAACACAAATCGATTTAATCCCCTAGTTCACAGGGATTGTCTATTTGACAAAAGACTACCCAGGGAGATGTTTGTGGAGCAGCGGTATGTGCTTGCCAGGGCTAAATTGCACTTCACACCTGTGGTCCTGACTCCTCAAGCTCACCTACAAAGAGCAGAGGAAAGCAAAACCCTATCTCCAATTCCGCTACTGGGGAGAGAGTCTAAGTCTCTGGCAGAATCTGGCGTCCTGCTGGAGGTAACTGAGAAATTGTGCTGCCAAGCTTGCTCGACCATTCTCAGGGTTCAGGAACAGAGCTGTTTTTATGTTTCTGATCTGGCTGAGAATAGATGTGGACATATTACTTTAGCAAAGGTGGTGTTTCAGATTTACCACAGAATTAAGAACAGCATTTCCGATATTTAAACATAAGGGTTTGATTTCATTTGAAATTATTGTACATGCTGATTTAAAGTTTCACTTTCAGCTCAGGTTTTCACTTTAGCTATTTAGCTTTGGTCATTCTCTGATCCTCTGATCTGAAGCGTCCTAAACACAAATCGATTTAATCCTCTTAGCTGGTATCCTGTGCAGTTCCTAATCTTAATGTCTTTTTTACTCTAGTACTTTTAATTAAACTGAGATTTGAGTGAAGAAGGATGCTTTTTTGCATTTTACCAATTTGAAATCCTCCTCAGAATGTAATAGTGGCATGTGAAAGCGCTAGTGCTGGAGTGAACGCACTCCCAAAAGCCTTCCATCATTTGGATGGCTGCAATGAATGATTTACGTCAATATATTTAAGGATCTTTCCGTTAAAGCGCATCAGCCCCTCTTTTTCATATTCGAGGCGGCGGAGCGCTTTGTCCTCTTTCACCAACACTGTAATAATGCCAAGAAATGGTTAATGATTCTCTCAATCAGGAAGTTAATTTTAGGCTTGTTGCTGCATTTGCTTTTCTGTCCCTCTTCTCATCGCATTCTGACCGCCCATTAACAAAGTGAAAACAACAACAAAAACACAAACAGAGTAGGGGGGGGGGTGAACGGGAAACAACGGAAAACGGGCACCCTTAAATCTTAATTAGTTTTAAACGTAATTGCTTGAAATGATTAGTTGAATTCAGTCTTCCTGTTACTTAAAATTAAAAATATAATCGCTGTGGACAGTAATTGGCTTGCCCCGGATTGTCGGTTATTGTATCCCAGTGTCACCCCATGCATCATTACCCGACTTTGGCGGCGGTGCAGCTTCTGAACTATAGCGACCAAACAAAAACACAAACACACACATGCAATTCTCTGCTCGCCTGTGCCAGAGCATTATCAGAATTTGGTTGAATGCCTCCTCGAAAGGATCTAAGTTGTTTTCCGTTTGCCCCTTTCAACCTTGCTCTTCTCCAGTGGGCGAATGAAGAGCCCCTCGGCTCGGCTGACCTTCGACCCCCACTAATCGATAGCCACAGCCTGCGCTCTGTAGATTCCTCAAGGAGAAGAATAACTCTATACTGTAAGAATCCATCCAGGCTGGAAGGGACTGTCAAAATAACCCCTAAAGCTCTCTTAAGGGGGGCTGCATTAGACTTCTGGGTAAAAAAATAAATAAATTTTCTTTTAGTGAAGCTGTGATGTTACAGTACGAACTGTCATATTTTAGGATGCAAAGTGGAGATCGCATTAGTGTTTTTGGCTGGAGGACAGAGGCGACCTTTGCCCTTCTAACCGTCCACTCTGTCCAGTCTTGTCATTGAGAAGACACATCTGTCCTAACTGATATATATTTTGCCTTTTTTTGCACCATCGTTTGTATTAGTATCCGTGGTCTGCCTTCTCTGGTAAATTGTCCAAAAGCATGGCTAGTCCATTAGCAAATTCTCCATGAACTTCTGTCAACTGTCGTTTTATTTACATTCTTAGTCTGCCTTTTGTATCTCCAATCATATTGTCAGTTTCAGTTGTGATTTAATTAAACATAATTGTCCAAATATAATACTTTCAATAAAGCAGGACTGTCATCAATCTCATCACTCAATTTTGATTCAGTTTCACCCGGACAAGCAGAGACCGGACGTATCAGAAGGTGAAGCAGAGCAGCACATGCAGCGATTCATTGATGTCGACCAGGCTTGGAAGATCTTAAGTAATGAGGAGAGCCGGAAGGAGTACAACCTCCAGCTACGGGGTACGTTCCCACCTGTCTATCCTCTCATGGGCTCTCAAGTATTGAAACCATACTAGACTGAAGGGATTTGGAGGAATTAGTGGTTTAGATGGGCTATGATTTATTGAATTTCATAAATGCTCGGTAAATGCTTTTGATAAGTGACAACCCTTACGATTTTTCGCCTGTCGCTTAAAAAAATGGGCAACAAAATCCAAGTGAAAGGAGGGTTCTGAGCCATATTTAGGGACCAAAATATCAGAGACATGAGGTGGGCTTTGGTTGATAATTAATAGCCTAGCACCCACCCAGAATCCACTAGCAATTTTGGTTTTATCCACTGTTGAAACTAGACTGTTTTTAGAAAGATTATATTTAGGTGTAATGGGCTTTATTGTATCGAATTTTGTAAATGCTCAGCAAAACATTATTGGACAATTTGGACAAATCTAGTTTATGCTAAATAAAAATGTTAAAATTCATCATCAATTTCTGTTTGTCATTGTTGATAAAAATGTATTAAAATCATAATTGTCTAGCCCTTCGGGGCAGACGACTAAAATTGTCTGAAATATTTAAAATACCAAAGGAAGTAATGAAAACAGAGCCGTTGTCTTTGGTCTGGACAGATGCTTCCTTACAGAAGAGCATAGCGAGAATTGTGGGTAGTAGAGGAGGAGGGAAATAAAGAGAGCGAGCGAGAGAGAATGTAGGTCAGGTCTGTCACACATGGCCAATTCTTACATGAAGTGATAGTCTGTTTCTCTCCTCTCTCGTCTAAGGAAAAGCTCCCCCTAGCCTTCCATTAGGACCTTCAATAAGTGTACATCCAGGGTCCTGTGTGCCATTAACTGGGGAGCTGTGGCATCGCCTTTGGGGGGGGGGACACAGTTTGCACAGCTACTCGCTAACATAGATCGCCACAGCCACAGAACTGACATTTAGAGAGTGTCCACAGAAAAGCCAGGCCTCGACTGGGCTGCACATGCAGGAGTGATGGAGTTGACCTCATCAATTAGATGCGGTGACTTTATTTCCCATGTCAGACATGCTTTGTTTTGACTTCATATGCATGTGTTAAATAAAGGTTTGCCTTTTATTGTAGAAATATTTATAAAAATGAATTATTTATTAACTATTTATTTTTTAGATATTATGATAACTATATTATATGTCAAATGTCTGTTAAACTTTGTGTGTATTATAAATTTTGGCTTACAATTAATGTAAAATCGGGGTCTCAAATTATACCAGTCCTCAAATAAACTAGCTTGCATGCTCATATCCGTCCAAAAAGTTTGTTAAATACATTCTCTGATGCCATTGCTTTGTCATTTGTTCATTTCTTTACTATCTCCTATATAGTGTATGGAAAAGAGAGCAATTTTAGTAATAGTTCATCTTGTTTTACTCTGTGGTATATTTTAATAAGATATAATAAATAAAATAATTTAAAATCAAATCAATATTTTATTTTATTTTTTATATTTTATTTAGTAAATTCAAAAAGTAGGGAATGCATGATAAATAACCATACCATTTTGGTTATTTTCTGATATTACGTTTTTTTTTTTTTTTTTGATTGTTATCGGTCCATATTGTATTTATTGACTGATATTGGATATTTAATTTAATGCTCTTTTCCTCTATTTTTACATTTAAATTGCCGTTGCCATCTTCTAATGCTCATTTAAAAAATGTAAACTACAAATTTTAGAACACTGTTTAATGTATTCATTAGAAAAGATCAAAATTAATATTACAGTGTACAGTAATGTTGTGATGCCTAAAATTACTATTGTATTTTATTTTTCTACTGATTTTATTTTTATTTTTTATAGTATAGAATTTTAACTGACTGTTAATTGGTCCTCACTTATCACGTGATAATAATTATCAGTACATATAAATATTGGTGCATCTTTAGAAGAAAAGAGTCTGCACAGATCATTTAACATAAACTCTACTGTTGATATTTTAGTTTAAGGGGATATTAAAAATAATCTCGGCTCCCTACTCAAGCCTATATGGTCTGCTTTAATTAAGTTTGGGATTGATTCTCGGCCAGCTCAAAGGATATACTAATCCCCATCTAACTTAAGTAGCCTGCCCTGCAGTCATTCACTAGACATCGAAATGTGTGTCAATATTGACCAGACATGGTTTGATGTCAAACACTATGGCTTCTATTTAAAAGGCCACATCTGATTGGGTTAATCTTTCGCAGTTACAAAATATATATAGTATTTATAAATATTCATGCACCCTTCTTATCAGGAATGTATTCAGTCATGAATATTCATCAGCAGAGTCTTATTCATGTGTTTACTTGTTTACTGTCATAGGAGAAGTCTTTATGCCTCTAATCAGTTTATGCATCTCTGATTTAATGACCGAGCGGAAATGCATCAAGGGATAGCCATGCATTCATTACTGGAGGTTATTCTGGGGTACTCTGTATAGTGTGAGGTAATTAATCAAGTTGTTTGGTTGCGTAACTGAAATCTTCCCTTCAGTTCCTACTTGCCATTTAATTTTTGCTTCATTTTATATCCGAATGAGATTCATATTTTTGAGGTGAATAGAGACACATCAGACTACTTATTTCAATGACAGAGCTCATTTCTTTGTCTCATCAAGTTATTTTTTGTACCTGTAGGGAATGAATGATAGAAATTAGTCGCAAGAACTGAAATGGCACCTACTTAGGACATTCCTTAAAACGAATTAATAGAAAGCATGATAAAACGCTGCACTCGCACCTGTTAATTACCAATATCTCAGACAGGCTGCCAGAAAGGGACAAGAACCATTACGTGGAAGTGTTGCGTCTCAAATTCCTTGATTCGTTATGAAGCAACGTGATCTAATTTCATTCTCGCCATTTTGACAATTACTTGTCATATTGCACTTTTTCACAGACAGTTTTAGTTTCAAATTCACTTATTAGCAGCCTTTAAAGCAGAGCCTTTTGAGATGCCCAGCATTCCCTGCTTGAATATTCAATGAATATTTTAAGACAACTCATTTGTGTGTATTCATAGCAGCAGTAGGAGACATGAAGGCTTCGCTAGGTCATGCTAAATGACCTCAGATGACTTCGCAGCTTCCCTTTTCCTAAATCTCTTATAAGTGGAACAACGGCCCACCAATTAGGGCTGAACGATTAATTGCATTTGCGATAATATCGCGATATGACAAATTTCGATTTTTCAATTGCAGAGGCTGCGATTACACGGTCACGTGACAGGCGAGAGTAAAGAGGTGTGTTCGACTTGAAGATCAGATCGGTGTATGACATCAAAGTACGGCGAGCGAGAGAAAGCATAAGGAGACGTCCGCGCTCTCTTATAGCTCTCTCAGTACTTTGATGACACACACCCATCGGTCTAAGCAGCGCTGCTTCAAGTCGAGCGCGGGCCATCAGCAGAAAAAGAAAATAAATAAAACAGTAAACAGCCAAAGGACGTAATTAGAATGGGAGATGGATCGGTTTGTGAAAGCAAAGAGAAAAGCCATAGATGAAGTCGCACAGACCCAGGCAGATGCTGGTCATTCAAATGCTAAATGCAGAAAATATGACAAGGCATATCTTGATCTCGGCTTCACTCACCGTGTCTATACCGGACACCACAGTTGTCGCGTCGCACCGCAACAGCTCTACACTGGACACGACAAAGCGACCGTTGCAAATCATTTTAACTTTGTGTCAGTACGTCATATTTTTCAATGTTTCAAGTGATGCAGGTGTTTTTTTCCCTGTAGGTTTTTTAAATTAAACAAACATAAATTTTTCATAATGTTTAGTGAAATTATTTGGTAGTGTAGTGTGTTGGTCATACTATACAATGATTTATAGCTTGTCTTTGTTGAATAATACAGAACATAAAGAGCTTTAAAAAATAATAATTGCATATTAAATCGCAATCGCAATATTGGTAAAAAAAATCGCAATTAGATTATTTTCCAAAATCGTTCAGCCCTACCACCAATCCTCCGTGATTATTGCTTAAATATTTCAACTAGCAAGGATTGCTCTGGAAACTTTTTACAGATGCTTTGAATCTTCCAGACACTTTCTTTCTTGTAAGAGCTCAAAGGTTCAGGATGTGGCCTGTTTTTTTTTTTTTACAAAAATTCTAAGAATTTAATGAATATCTGTAAGGGTCTGAGATCACATCATTTACACATCTCACAACTTTTTATGGAGTTTTTGTCTACTGAATTTATTTATTTTTTCTCAGAAAGCCATTTCATCAGCTGAACAATCGTAATTTTGTTAAACAACAGTACAGTCCATTGAACACACTGTACAATTTTGAGAAAAAAAAAATTCACAGCCCCATTTTCATTCCTGTCAAAAATTAAATATGGCACTATTCTAAGGTCAATGTATTTATGTATGTTAGTGGTGTATTAGCTATAATGTATTACATTCCTCTATGCAATGCTGAAATGCAGTGCTAAAATGAAGTGGTCCTTGAGGAAATACTGGTTTGTTTATAATAGAAAGATGGAATATTGACTAAAATTTATTGCTTCATCCTGGACTCGATCGTCAATTTGACTTCATATTGCATTTCTTTCTGCAGCACTTGAACTGAAACAGAGCTGGCCAGTGGACGCTCATATAACCCTCAACGAAATGAACTGGGATTGTGGTAAGTGATCTGTCCTCAAGCAGTTTACTGGTTAATTTTCAGTCTGTGTTAAAATGATAAGGCATTCTCTTCTGTTTCAGACACTAAGTGTTATACGTACAGCTGCCGCTGTGGAGGAGAATTCATCTTAGAGAAGGATGACCTACAAGAACTGGAAACGATTGTGTGCTGCGATTCCTGTTCACTCAGCATTGAAGTTAAGAAGGTTACATGACACTTTGGATACGTTCAGCAAGTTTTTATTGGACTATTATTTAGCTCTTTTAAAATGGGACATTTTCTATGGACACATGGTAGATTTTAACAGGAAGTCAACCTCATTCATAACTGATTATTTCTTTATGGTCTTTTAATGGTCTCCACATAGATCCTCAAAGCGACCACACTGTAAAAACCTTCCCATTTTCCATTTCTTTTCTTGAGTAAGGATGCAACATTTTCATTCACATGTACCTTACAGCAAGTGCATCACCTAATAACCAGAACTGGTTTCAAGAATTGGGTCACACCAGACTCTCACTGTCTCAGAAAGCCCTTTGGTTGTTTCCTCTGAGCTAGACGTGCTCTTTTACGTACCAGACGCTTACCAAAATGAAAAAAAAAAACATTGTTTGTTCCCTAGCCCCCTCCTTTCTCCCCTGTGTTTGAGAGGACCAGGCGGCTCAGTAACCTCTTAGCTCTAGTCAACTTTGTTTGCATGTAAATAAATGCATTTTTTTCCTCCTCCGACAATGAAGTCACAAACTGCCTCCACACATCACTGGTCGAAAAAGGCCCTCCAGTTAATGATGAGCTTTTCTTTGCCTTATTGTTCTCCGGCCCACTCAATTTTGGGGGGATCTACAAGGTTGCGGCATTGGAATAGGGTCATTGCTTTATTAAACTTCAAACAGTCATTAGGCTGTTTGCTAAAATCTGTCGTCCCACAGTAGAAACAGCTTGATCGGGGCAAAACCACGCTTTTCATCAATGTCCTGAGGCCTGAACCGAGGCTAGACCTGCCAGTGGACCAGCAATGGACCGAACTGTAATCGACTGTGACATCAATTACAGATAATCTCATCACTTTTGAGAGTGGGCTTGTCAAAGCTCTAATTAAGTCCTCAGTTCCCACTATATGTGCAGACAGGATCAACAACACATTATAGTGCAATGATAGACATCATCATTCTATTTTTGAGGGGAGCTAACTTTTAACCTAGTGTGCACTTGTGGGTCTGGCCAGGCAGTAAGGCTGCTGTGTTCGTTTGAATGATTGCCTCTTTACGTCTGTGTATGTGACTGTAGATGATGAGGATAACCATTTGCATGGTTATGATTTTTTTTTATTTAATTAGTTTTTTGTCACTTCAGTAAACTTTCTTTTTTTAAATGTAGGTCAACTGAATTATTTCAGTGTTTCATAGTTTCTTAAAAATAGATCAGATTTGTGTGTGTGTGTGTGTGTGTGTGTATAGATAGTTTTGGGTTGAGAAATGAGAAAGCTATGTTTTTTTATGTTAAAAATAATCTTTGCAATGTATATTCTATTGGCTAATGCAATAATGTTTTCGACCAAATTTGTAAAGATTATTTCAAATATTATTTAAAATTAATTGCCGATACCTGACCAGGACAGTGGGTGCAATATGAGTACATTATTGTGACTTTGTGGGGGAAATTACATCATAACAAACTATTTAAGTGGAACCTTGACTCTCCCTTTTTCGGTGACTGTTCTCCCGTTATTGTCCCCATTGACTGTGTGAACCTGGTAACCTGAAACCTTTGTCAAAGTAAGCAAGACTTTCACTGATCCTGGTTCTTGTTCACAGGTAGTTTTGAAAAGAGTTTCCTTTAATGCAGAGCCTTCACTCCAAGGAGCAGGAAGTGAGGAGCTCTTTTTTTTGAATGAACTTTAATCACCTTTTTTGCCCTCTCGGTTTCTCATTTAATGCAGGCATAATCTCAGTTGAACAGAAGATCTTTTTAACTCCTGTTTCAGTTAAAATCTAATGGCTTCCCTGTTTTAGACAAGAATGCGTATATGCCTATGTCAGATCAAAAGTGTCCAGCCAAATTTTCAGAGTTACCTTTTGGGAAACCTTGAGCCAGATGGCAGAGAACATAAAACATAAAATTAGAAAATATCTCAGTCTGTTAGCCTTTTAAATATTCAGAATTCAATTTAATTGAAACTGGTTAATAATAGTACATTTGCATTATTTTAGATCTGCATTTATTCTACCCTTTTACAGGATTTGTACATAATGGTATGTTCCTTTTGATATGATGATAAGTAAATATGCCCCAAACACATGCTAAAAATGACATACTTCACCTTAAAGGTGGTATCATTTTGCCTCTACTTTTGGTGGATGAACTCTGCTGAAGATGTTTGATGTCTCTATGCTTGTGTTGTGGTTGTCTGGTTTGCTTATGACTGGGAGTCTTTCAGAGAGCCAGAGGTTTACTGCCTATCTCTTCATCCTATCCATTCAATTGGCAATAATGCTAACAGCCCTCATGCAATGCTAGACCTCTTTGGTTGTGGTTGTGTCTGTGTGTGTGTGTGTGTGTGTTCCAAACTAAAGCCTAAAATGTGTTTTAACGTCATTATTGATGAGGACGGTATGATCTTTGAATAATATTGATCTTTAAATGCAAGATATTTCAAGTGTACCTGACGTATACTTGCAATAGTTCCACTTTAGCACAATCAAATATACTTCAGTATATCTTTAGTTGGACTTCAGCACTACTTCCACACAATAAAAGTGCAAAAAGTATAGTTGTTCCACTTTAGCAGACCTTAAGTATACCAGTGTAGTATACCAATAATACAATTGCAGGGCATTTTTATTAAGTACATAAATATGTAAATGCATTTGTAGTATACTTAGCATGTTAGTGCTAAGTGTTTCACTAGGGAGTACAGAACTAAACTTATATTCAGTGCAGATTAAAAAGTGTGACAACTAGCCCTGGTCTCTTTTATTATCTATTATTTGTGGTTAAGGAAAATATCAGTGCATGTGTATGGGTGAAATAAACCTACAACTCTCTGCTCTCTGATTGATGAGATTTTACTATACAGGAAGGTTGTCTCAGTAAATAGCATTTATATGACTCACCAGCTTCTGAGATGCACAATTGCAAAATGTCCCATCTGTGATTTGGAAAAACTGCTCACTTGACATTTCTGCTGCATTGAGGAATTAAATCTGAACTGAAGCAACCTTCTTTTACCCTCTTCCTTGATCTTTCCCTCATCTTGTCCTCAGCCTTATGTTTCAGTTTGTTCGTTTGGCGAAGTAAGGCAGTTTAATTGAGCGAGGTTCGAGTCTTCACAAACTGCAAGGTAACAGAGAGAAATCGATGGAAACAGAGGCATGGAAAAAGGAGATAACATTGATTTATCTACCATCGATAGGGCTGAATCACTGAATTCCGCTGCCAGGTGAAACGTGTGCTGTCTGCCAACAGGATCTGAAAAGGTGTCAGGTGGTCAGAGGACACAAACAGAATGAGGGAGGGAGAGAGAGAGAGAGAGAGAGAGGGAGGAAGAGAAACAGACCAAGTGGGATACAGTTCTATTAAGCCAAAATATAACCTCTCAAAATACTTAAGAAACATCATAGGTACGTTTTATTCCGGGTTAACAGGATTCTTTTTATTTATTTATTTTTTTTAATTTTTTTTGCTGTAATGTGTAGACCTGAGCTATGTTCTTGAAATATGAATTGGTGTGTTTGAATCATGACTGTTTTCTTTTAAAGGCTATTTACACATTTGTTGTGAAAGCAGTTGCCAAGGGGAGTCACAATGCCACAGTGTCCCCAATGTGCTCATAGACTGAGCAAGTGACAGCACTGGTGCACCCATGAAGCCACCTGGCCCTCAGGTGCCCCCACCCCACCGTCACAAGCCCGGACATGTCAGGACCTGGTTTTAAAAATAACTCCTGCTTGTTAATCAAGCAAACCTGCCCCCAACCACTACGCCAAAAACACACACCGTCCTCCCTTGCCAATAATTATGTCATCCTGCTCGTCACACACCTTCATTTGCCTGTTTTTTTAATGTTAGCATGTCATACAAGTTGGCAGACTGATGGTTTTTGTGTTTAGACAGATAGACTTTGAAAAGGTGCAGCAGTAATGTCTCAAAGGAGGTGGACTTGATAAACTTGAAACGCAACAAGGAACTGCTTGGCCATGCGCAGCTTGCTTGGAGATGCAACGTCATTGTTTGCCAATCTCTTAATTGGTTATAGGCCTTATAGCTCCATTGAGGGAAACCCACTAATTTGGAGTGAGAGGCAGTGGGTGGTAATTGCAGACACTGTAGCCATAGAGGTGTCATTTTGAGGTGTCCACCACACCTGAGCTGCCCGTTTTGTTCCCCGCCCTTCTCTTTGAGGAAGTGATCATCAATCTACAACTTCTGGGTCTAAAAAACCCATCATGTGGTATCGATTCCAAGTGAAATGGGAATGCCTGCATATTTTAGGCTGTGCTTGGAATAATGAGCTCTTTATTCCCATCGCCCGTTGCTCCTGGTGATGGAATTAGCTTGAAGCAAGCAGAGCGGAAATCACTCTCGGCTTTATGAATGACATCCCAGAGGTGGGAACGGATTAGTCTTCTCCCTCTCTAATAATGAGCTCTTTATTCCCTTCGCCCGTTGCTCCTGGTGATGGAATTAGCTTGAAGCAAGCAGAGCGGAAATCACTCTCAGCTTTATGAATGACATCCCAGAGGTGGGAACGGATTAGTCTTCTCCCTCTCTCCCTCAGCCTGTGTGTCTGTCTCTCTCTCTCTCACTACCTCTACAGCACCAGGTGGCTTTTTTTCTGGGCACAAAGGTGTTTCGCTTAATCCCATTATGCTAGTGCTAAATCTCACCAACATCAAAATTACACCCACCACCACTAACCTTCATATCTCTTTGCTTCTCCCACCCTCAGTTCGCTTTCCGTCCACTCCCTTTCCGAGAGACTGCAAAGGTGGTTTCACCTGAAAGGAGGGAGAGATCTGCAGGGCAGCTGCTGTTTTAGCAGTCGTTTTTACCGTTGCTGACTAACAGCGATTGCCAATCCTGATCCAATTTTGCCATGCTGGTGGCCCCTTATTCCCTTGTCCAATAATGTGTCCGCTGGAAAAAATCCCACTGCTCCAAATCAAGTCTAATCCTAGCTGGAGACCTCATGTCAATCTTTTTCTCCAAAAGGGAAAAAAAACAAGACAAACGCATACATCTGGTCCCGCCATAGATCTCTCTTTCTCTCCTTTTCTTTGGCCTCTAGGGATGGCTTTTAAATCCCCCATCTTCTCCACAGAATAGAGTAGGGATCATGCAACATGACCTACCAGAACCTTGATATCACAATATTGCCACCCTTGGGCATTGGGACATAGGTGCGGATTAAGACTTTGCATAATAAGATTACACGCTGACTGAATGATATCAAGGGACGATCCATATGTGGCAAGCTGGCTCTCTGTCGCCGGCTCATTGGCGGGTGGTACAGCTTGTGGAGAGAGGTGCCTGGGACAGCCGCTGGGAATCAAATGGGATTCAGATTGTAAATGAGTTGGCCATTTGCAGTCATAGCTATCAGCGACTGGATCTCTCCTAGTTCCACATTTAAATGTGAGAGGTATGTGAGAGCTGTCCTTTGCGTGATTACCACAATGACCCGCAATGATGCCCAAGTCTACTGGGACTTTCTACACTGATTTGTATCTTTTGATCGCAGATGTTTGACAAAGAACACTTGCTGGGCAATGTCTTCCCATTCTCAGTGAGCAGTCAAAGCAAGTGAGATTCTACGACTTGCTTATGTCTGTCAAATGCAAAATTCTTACCCTAGATTCCTTATCGAAGAAAAGTCCAAATTGGTCAAGAAAGCTGGTATAAGTTTCCTTTTGTCCACAGAATACCTCGGATGCCATAGTTCAACAGTGACGGCTCCTGCTGAGAAACCCCTCTATCCCAGGAGCTGCTTTTCTCTCAAGAATCTCACCATTCATGGCTCCCCATTCCCGCATCTTCAAAGCAGCATTCTTAGAAAATCCCTCACATAAAAAGATACCTCTCCTCATGAGCTGATGATCCAGGGGTGTCGAGCAGTAGTTCCTGTCCCACTGTGTGCTGTGGGAAGTGGACATGTCTGTCGGCTGGATGGGATCAATAAGCACAAGGCCACAACATTGACCCGCTGCTCTCCTAAATGGCTCCATGAGTCCTTGTCCGCTGTGCTGGGCAGTCAGGCACTGTGGGGAATTTGGGGAAACTGGAAATACTTCA